CAGGGGCTGAGTCCCTCTCAAAAAGTTTTGATTGCAAGTTCCACTTTAATTAAAGGTTCAGACCGTAAAAAGTTGTATTGCAGCTTTGGGTACCCTTCTGAGAACCTTCAGGGCTAGGAGAACCCTACTGCAACCAGCTGCTCCTCCAGCCCTATCTCAGCCCAGAGACAAGCCCCAGCCATTAACCAAAGACTCTGCCCCCACAAATTCATCACAAAGCAACGTAAAGGGGCCGGCTGCCAGAACTAGTTCACAATTAACACTCTGACGATTTAAGCAAGCTTGCTTCCCCCGAAGCCCGATCTGCTCACGTAGCAGTGTTTAGGGCCAGCCTCCAGGCTGTTCTCGCTGATGTTTCATACACCACATGGAGTTCCAGGATCACAAGGGAAGGAAACTTAGAACCCGTGATCCCGTGGCCCCTAACCAAACTACAAAGTCATCAAGCAGGCAAGTTTCTTGGCAAAGACACCAGGAAATACATCAACCCAGTGCTGTTATTAACCTTCTACTATTGCTAAATCCAGCTAGTCATCTAGCAATTAATTGGGGGGGGGGGACGACGAAAAAAATCAGAAAAACTACTTCAGATAATACTGGCACTTTATTTTAACATAAACAGTATCAATATTAGTACCAAGATGCGCTTAAAAGAACTAGCATACTTGTCTTGTAATGAGATAACTTGATAAATGGCTTACTTGGGCAAAGTTTTAATAATTTCTCTTCATCACAAGGGGCATGTGGGTTATGAAGAACTGCCCCAAACTGAAGATGATTCAGCAGCTCTATCAAAACATAGCAGCTTCATGGAAGAAGCTGCAATGTAGATATCTCTATGTCAAGTTTCCTTCTCTCCTTCCCATATATTCCCTGCTTATTTTCAGGGCAAATGTTTTTGCACCTCCATGGGCATCTAGTCGAAATCATATTACAGGCAGCCAAATGTTAGCAGCATCTCCAGATTTCAAGGCAACTTTCCATGACCCCTGTTCATTGTGTCACTTACCCAGTCCTCCACAAGACTTTCTGAAGATCCTCCCACAGAGAGAAGGGAGAAGAGCATGGAAAGCACCGATACCTCAAATATAATTCAACAAGGGAAGCTTTAGAAAAATCCCTATTACAGATTTGCAAAATGCGTTTGGTCTTTTTCCAAGTTCATCTTTAAGTTCCCTCCTTTAAGGTCCTTCCATGAAAGGTTCAGTTATTTAAACAGTAGCTTTTTATTAATCCGTTCCGTATTATTCAGACACTAGAGCATTTATTTATTATAGCTTATCCCATTAGAAAATCATGATTTTATGTTTTCCATTAAATTGATACTATGGGAATCAGTTGTGATTACCATAATACCTGTCAGACATGACTCTGAGAAGAGAACAGAAAGAACGAGGCGCGTTTCATCTGGCGAGCGGGAGGGGAAAACAAGAAAGGACAGGACAGAAAGTGCAATCAGTTTTCCCAAATAGTGTTTCAAAAGACCACTTCAGCAAACCTCCAAGGCTGCACAGACAAGGACACAAGCACTACCTGAACTGCCTGCGGAGCACCTCTGTGTCAAGATATAAAGAAACTCTTGGAAATTCACATCTAATGGAACATCTATTGGAAAAGGATTATACTGAAGGGCAGATGCGCGATTTTGTTTTTCAATTACTCAAAAACATAGTCTGAGCACTTGTAAAAGCAACTCGACCATGCTCAATGGCTTTTCTTTTTAGCAAAGTGCCTGCTACTTCCTACATTCACATTTTAGGCACAATGCTATGGATTTCCTATTTTATCACTCTGCTTGTTCACTATCCAGGTGTAATTCTGGGGTCACAAAGTGAAAGCTTAATGACCAGGAGAATTCAAGGTAGATTTAACTGAAAAACAAGCACAAAGTGTGTCACAGAATGAACTTGGCTTTTCCTTGTAGATTGGTAACATACTAGCTGTACGTTTGCCCTGATGTCCCAGTGAATTACACAGACCAAAAGCACTTTCCTTTGTTTGAGTAACTCTTAAAAAGGGAACATTCAATTCAACCGTATGCTTTAAAAAGTCAAACAAAAACCCTCCTACACAAGAAATTCTTTGTTACTTTCTGTAACTACAGGAAAAGTAAAGTTGCTGCAATCTGAAATATCGCACAATTTCTCTTTCCTATCCAAAGGTTTCTGTTTGGTTTTGTGTTTTGGGGGTTTTTTTTAACTTCTTCTATGCTTATTGAATAATTTTGGAGGAAGTACTTTTTTTTAAATGTGATTCCATGTCTAAGTGCAGTTAGAAACATAAATCTGGTGGTCTGTATATAAAGCATCTTCTTTAGCCTTTGGGTTAAAGTAGTTTTTTCCATAAACATCAATAACAACTAGTTTCAATATAAAGTTGGCTAAGACCTAAAATCAGAACAAGTCAAGCAATCCGATTTAATCACTAGATTTTGGGAATCCACTGTGGCTTAAGTCACCGGTACTACACGATTACACTGTTGTCTCCATAGCAGGGCAATAGCCCAGCATATCCTGAGCGCAAAGTGACCCCATGCTGACGTTGACTGATAGGGCTACAAGCCCATAATTAAATGACTGAAGCCATGTTTACACTAATATTGTCTAAAAGTTAACAACTACACATTGTACATCAAGCAGCACAACTGCAATCAGATGT